TTAAACCCTAAATAGTAGTTTCCATTTTCTTTTCCATTATCCCAGTTTATCCCCAATACATCCCCAATATATCCCCAATATATCCCCAATATATCCCCTACATATCCCCAATATATATCCCCTATATATCCCCTATATCCACATAGCCAGGTGGGCTTCCCAATCATGGTTAAGGCTTCGGAGGGTGGCGGAGGCAAAGGCATCCGCAAAGCCACCAACATGGAGGAGTAATGCGAAGTGTAGTCTAGATTCCTTAAAGGGGGTTATGTTGGGGATTATGTAGGGGACTGCTATAGGGGATATTAAGGGGGATACAGCGGTTCATGTAGGAACTGCAACTTCTTGCATGCAGTTGCTTCTGAGGTTCCAGAGCCTACACGTCTTTCTGGAAATTATTTAGGATTATTACCCTGACGGCCTCGTCAAAGCCTTACCCAAAGCTCTTTAAAGACTCATCAGATATAGTATATTATAACCCATTATAGTAGTTTCCATTTTCTTTTCCATTATCCCAATATAACCCAGTATAACCAGCTCGGAGGAGCTCAAGGTTGCCTTTACAAACGTCTCCACGGAAGTCGTGGGCTCGCCAATCTTTCTGATGCAGATGGTGTCCAAGGCTCGCTGATCCTCACGTCAAGCTAGCATGGAACCCTATGTTCCCTTCCAAGGAACAGTGGTCTCTCTCAGCTTAGGGGCCCTAAACCCCAAACCCCAAACCCCAAACCCTAAACCCAGAACCCTGAACCCTGAACCTGAAACGGAACCTCTTGACAAGGCCAGGCACCTGGAGATCCAGATCTTGGGCGATGAGTACGGCAACACGCTGGCGCTCAACGGCCGTGACTGCTCCACACAGCGCCGCCTGGATAAGTTGGAGGTTACAGTTTTGGGTTAAGGGTTTAGTGTTTAGGGTTCTGGGTTTAGGTGCTTACTGGTGCTGAAGGGGGAGTGGATGAGTGAATATAGGGATTATCATAGGGGTATATGTGGGGATTATATAGGGACTCCCCCACTCTCCCTTAAGCACCAGTAAGTTGGGGGGTTAGAGCTTTGTGTAGAAAAGCCGTTGGGGGTCCTAATCACCAGATATCCCCAGAGTCCCTACCTTTCAACACTCCTTCATGTTATTCAAACATTTTGCTACACCTATATGCAGAAGCCCTGTGAGTTTACTGGATATGTCTTGCAAAAGTCATGCAACACTTCAAACATTTGGTACACGAGGTCGTTTCCAGAAGATCTTCGAGGAAGGGCCTCCCACCATTGCAAAGCCGGATGTGCCTTTCCTGGCAGTTTTTCTCTGACAACAGCACTTGTCCCCTTCCGATGCACCTGTCATAGATAGTACCGACCCCTAAACCCGGCGCCCTCAACCTAAACCCTAAACTTGAGGCAGGGTGTGTTGTGGCTGAAGGCTGGGGATGATCATGCGGACAGCAGTTCAGGCCATTCTCACCTCTAAGAAAATTCCAGGTAAGGGTTCACTGCTTTTATGTGATTTGGGGTCTCCAAATGCCGGGTCCTGAGGGACCCACAGGACAAATGCGTGCAAAGGAAATATAGGGGTCTCAATTCAAGGCTCTGGAAAGGTTTGGTAGTAATCAAGAAAGCAATCAGCAGTGACAACCGGGGGAGTGTATCGGGAGAGTGTGAGGATTAATTACAGAGGTTGCTATGCGTCAGCCCCGAGGCTTTCATGCAACACAGTAAGCTTGAGTCCTTTCAGTTTAGGATGCAACATAGGAGAATTCCCAAAGTCGTCCTTACATAGAAATGCTGCTTGGTGACTACTTATCAGCAAACTCTGTATTACTATAACCCTCATTATTGGGACTTTCAAAACGGGACGCCATGTTTTCCGAAATCGTCAGTTGGTTATGAGGGCTGTTAGAATAAAGCTTCAGGTTTTGGAAGTAAGGCTTTACAATGTGAGATGGCAGTTTAAGTGTTCATGGCCAGGGTGTGATTCTTGATAAGGACACCCTCCTGAGTGTTTAGGGTTTCAGGTGTTCCTAGGGGACTGTAGATACAACCAAGCTGCTATAGCAACAACCCTACCTCAGGCAGGCCCACATTTTTCTGAAATCTCCTACGTTGAAAGTCACTATAATAAGGGTTCTAGTACATTGGGGTTTACAAAGGAGCCCTCATTTTTAGAAATCTCCTAGATGTCTGCTATCTGGCCACTACCCTAAACCCTAAACCCTAAACCCCTAAATCCTATCTTTTAAGGTCTTCCATGAGATGGAGCGAGCAGCAATGCGCCTCACAGCCCTGGTGGGCTACCGCGGAGCAGGTCATTGGCTTGCAGAAATCATGGGCTCCGGGTTTAGGGGTTTAGGGTTTAGGGTTTAGGGCCTTACCAGTTTCTACTTTCTCCTTCAACTTACTTACCTAGGGATAATTTATATAAACCCTATAAAAACCTTATACAAACCCTATAAAAAACTTATATAAACCCTATATAAACCCTAGATAAACCCTAAATAAACCCTAAATAAACCCTATAAAAACACTATAAAAACCGTATAAAAACATTAATATTGGGTAGTGAAAGCACAGGGCAGGGCCTAGCCGGCACCGCAGGCAGCACCCAATATTACCCCAATAATGGAGAATCTTATTGGGGTTATATAGGGATAATGGAAAATAAAATGGAAACTACTATTTAGGGTTTAGGGTTTAGGGTTTATAGCCCCCCCTTAAGTAGATATTACCCCCAATAATGGAGAATCAAATGGAAAAGAACATGCAAAATGAAATGGAAGCTAACTAGGGGAATATAGACCCCTTAAGTAGATAGAATACGGGGGTTATATTGGGATAATGGAAGAGAAAATGGAAAATGAAATGGAAACTGGGATTGGGATTGTAGGGTAGTTAATAGGGATTATTTTATCAGGTGCAGCTCTCCGTCCAACTCCCGGCCCCTGTGTCCCCACGCGTTTCCTGCCCAAAATCTGTGTTGGAACCCCTCGCCAACTTGTGCGGAACCCAGACAACCGCCCGGACGCCCCCTTACCCCCCTAGAAACACGCAAAAAACGTGTGGGGGTAGGGGGTGGGTTAATTTACTCTTCCAACGGCCCTGGATCTAAACGCCCCAGGCCTCCGGCCCTCGGCGGATTAAAGCTCATTAGGGGTGAGCCTCTAGAGGGGGGAGCGGGAGGCGTTATTGGCGGCCCCAATGCACATGACAATGTGCTATAGTTGTAACGAAATATGGAAAATCAAATGTCAGAGGAGCTTCAAAATACAATGGACGCTGGATTATGCAATGGCTGACAAGGTTGAGGGACAACCTCAAATTATAACTAGGCACATCCTACGATCTCTTGTAGTCTCTGTTGTCAGCAGCACAGCTTTGGGCAATATACCTAAGTAGCTGACTAGTAGTAGTTAGGTTTGGAGGGGCCAAAAATAATGACATAGATAACGGAAGATGATCTCAGTTTAACATTTTGGCCGAGAAAACAACAATGTCAATGGGAAGCTTGGTAGATTCAGTAGTTGAAGGAGGCTACTCGTGGTGATGGCAGCAAGCGTTTCAAGGATACCCGTCCCACTCCTGGTAGGGTTTATTGATGCACCGGTACTCCTTCCACAAGGAGATCAGAACAATCCCAACATGATGACTGCACGGCACCTGCCCCATGATATTCTGGTAATCCCTTATCCGATGAGGTAATCATTTTTGAGGAAGCCCTGCTGAGTTGCTTGGAAGTGTTGTTTTGAAGGTCTATGGCTTATCTGGCCGGTCTCTTTTTGTTGCAATACTCTTCCCAAAAATTACCTGCCCGTATGGGGTTCCATATCTGTTTAGGGGCGGGCAGTGTAGGACCCCAAATTCTTCATCCCAAGCCCTGAACCCTCCACACCTTACAGACTAGATTCAGACCTGAAACGCAAGAATCAAAGTCTCTGTAAAACCCTAAACACCTAGACCCCTTCTGGGCTTGTCACAGGCACAGTGGAGTACCTCTACAGTCCTGAGACGCACACCTTTTGCTTCCTGGAGCTGAACCCGCGCCTGCAAGTGCCTTTGGTGAACGTATTTTTTGAGTTTAGGGGTTGGGGATGTAAGGGTTTTCCAGGTGGATCCATATGGGATAGAGTTTAGACTATATGGCCGTAGATCCTGAGGCTGAGGGTTCGGCATCTTCGAGTTTAGGGTTTAAGTCTTCCGCTTAGAGTTTGGGGTCTGAGGTCCCGGGCCTTAGGCAGTCTTTGCTGTTTGGAGTCTAGTCAGTGCTGTGGTTCATTGTTTTCAGCAGTGCAGCCATGCGACTGAACCGCTGAATTTCCCACAAAAGGTTCCTAGTATTGACACACCCCAAACCCCTTATCCTGAGCCCGAAGCCCCAAACCCTAGATCCTCAACCATGAAATCCGTTTTCTGGGCTCTATAAACCCTGAACCTTACATATACCCAATAAACCCTTGAGGGGACCACAAACACCCACAAAGCAAAGCACATCCACAGGTGGAGCATCCGGTCACCGAAGCCATCACCGGCGTCAACATGCCGGCATCTTGTGGGCTCAATGATGGTTAACATTATTGTTGTTATTAGCTTCGCTATCATTATTATTATTAGTATCTTTAGTATTATTATTGCTATTACTGCTGTTATTATTTTTGTTATTATTGGACTCATGAGGACGGTGTAGGGCTCAAGGTTCGGGGCTTAGGGTCTAGGGTTCGGTGTTTAGGGTCTGGGGTGTAGGGTGTAGGGTTCTAGGCCAGCACTAAAGATGAGGGCCCTGTCATCTTATTCATTTGAGGTCCGTTTTTGGGACTTGCTATGAAAATACGGATTTGAAGGCTATATGAGGGGGTTCCTAGTTCTGCACACACCAGCGTGATAGTCCTAGGATGCCGGCGTTGATAGTTAGTACTCGTTGCTTTTGGAGCTACCGTAAAGGCCATCAACTTGGCGTGGGACAGAGGACAACTCTCCACCAAACTGTAACTTAGGCAACGCAGCTGCAGATTGCCATGGGTATTGCCCTCCACAACATCCCGGACATCCGGCGCTTCTACGGTTATGAGCCCGCGGTTTCTAGACCATAATAATCGGCTGCGGATCAGGCTTGGAAGCTGTTGTGGCAAGGTTTTTGGTTGCTCACTCTTGGAACTACTCCTCAGGCACAAGCAGCCTAATTTTAAGGGCGGTGTGTAACTTGAGACTAACCGCACCACCAAATAACCATGCATTTAGGTTTTTCAAGCTCCCACGGTGACTCAGGTTTGCTCCAAGATTGACTTCTTTGCTGTGGACTATCCGCCCATCACCACTCATTGCTGTGCTTCGCGCATCACCGCCGAGAACCCGGATGAGGGTTTCAAGCCCACAAGTGGCAGCTTGGTCATTTTTGACGTCTGGTTGCTGCTTCATCTTCTGACTTTGCTTGCGAGAAATGTCTCACAATACCTACTTTGCTATGTGGAGCCCAAGGGTTAGCGAACAAAGAAGGCGCCGAGCAAACCTAAATTGAATCCATTCGCGGTCCTGGTTTGCCAACCTACCAGTTGCCCTATACAAGCGTGCTTTCTAATTGCTGAGCCCTTAATCCCACGTTCTGAACTTCCTCCATCAATACCAAGGCAAGATCAACAGCGTTCGCTTCCAATCCTCGGGCGACTGCTGGGGCTATTTCTCCGTGGGCCTCAGGTACGAGCCCAGGGTTTAATGTAGAGGCTAAAAGAATTGGAATTGGGTCTTGGGGTGCATCATACCAGATCCATAAGGGCTACACTAGGGGAGTAAGATTTCCGATGATTGAGGCTTCTACGTCGGGACCTCCCATTTGAAGTCGGGGCAGAGTCATAGTGTTTGCAGGGTTCAGGGTTTGACGTTTTGGTTCTGGCCTGTAGGGTTCAAGGTCTTGGAATGTGGGCCTTATAGGCTTCAGGGACTTTTGGTTGCGCATTTGGGTGGGATTATGCGGGCATTTGATGGCATTCAGACTGAAAACATGTCCAGGTGGTGCCTGCGTAGTCCGTGCGATCCTTAATCTGTCAACAAATACGAGGTACCATTGAATGGGGGTGGGGAGCGTGCAGCGATGTTATAGAGGCTACTGTAAAGGTTCGGGTAGGTAGGAACCTAGGAATAGCATGGAGGTTCGGTTGATGGAGGACATCTTGCACAACCTCTGGTCCCACATTATTGCAACTCCCAGGAGTAGGGGTACACTGATGGGGCTGCAGGATTTCGTCTATGAACGGGCGTAGAGCAAAGTGTGTCAGGGGTGGCATCCACGAGTTCGCAGATTCGCAGTTCGGGCACATCTTTGCCAAGGGCCCCAACCGCGAAGCCGCGCGGAAGAGCTTGCGCTTCGCACTGATGAACCTGGCTACTGGGGTAGAATTTAAAGTAAGGGGTATATAGGGGTTATAGGATTTATGTAGGGCTATTTGGGGGTATATAGGGATGAAAAAGTGATAATGGAAAAGTAAGTGGAGACTGGGTTTTGTTGAGTGTAGGATTTGGGCTTTAGGATTCCATGTTTATGACTTAGGGTCTGGGATGGAGTAGTTCAGGGTTGCAGGTTTTAGGGCCTGAGGTAACCGAGTAGTGTTTAAGTTGGATTCAGTTGTACTGCAAGGCCTGGGTTCATGAATCAAGGGTCTACACTATTCAGTTCAGTCTATGCAGAAGCTGCTTATAGAAATGAAAATCAGCCTCCAACTCTCTACAAGGACATCCGTGGCGATATCCGCCATCCGGTTGACTACTTGGTGGACCTTATCGAGACGCAGGCATACAGGGAGAACACCATCGACACCATGTGGCTGGATCATTCTTCAGTATCATTTGACACGCCATGCTGTAGACACAAGTTTTAATTTGCAGCAGTAATCACCCCGAAGATGAACAAGAATATCCCTATCACATTACCCCTTTCAAGTTGTCTGCAGCCCTGCAATCTACTTACTATACATCCACCATCTGCGCCGGTACTCGGGACTGGATAAGCTCCGGATGGCCCACCAGGTGGCTGGACGGTCTCATTGCTAGCCGTGCTATCACGCCGAGTGCCAGCGTCATGGACACTTGTACCTGCAAATTTGACAGTGCGCCTTGCTACATGAGCTATAGTCTGAACTCCTTAAAGGGGTTTATATAGGGTATTACACGTATAGGGCTTTATTATAGGTGTTTTTGAGGGGATACTACTAGGTAGACTATAGCTCACATGCAAGTACCGTTTATGCAAAGGTCCGCGGCTCGTCACTTCCAGTGCCCAACAAAGTATCCTTGTTCCGTTGTTACTAGGTTCGGCATCATGACTTGTATCGGAATCCTACGGGGGTTGTAGGATAACCAAGTGTGAAGAACTGTTGTGCTGTTTAGTAGAAGCTTGGTTGCCTCTGAGGGTGCAAGCTGCAGAGTCCGGAAAGCTTTCTGAGTTTAAAACCGCGCGGGACTTGCTTTCAGGTGTCCTGGGAATCCTGCATTTAGGGTTTCAGGATGTTTCAGGTAAGCTTTCTTACAGCCACATGGAAAGCTGTTGCTTTAGTAGCCCCAAGTCTTTAACGCAGACACCCGTAGAACCAGAACTGCTCAATCTGGACCCATGTAAACTTCCCCACAAGAACCTGGGATGTTATGTTGCTGTTTCGTTACCTGTGCATGGACGGTAGTCTACAACGGACCTCTTTTCAGACTCCATGTGTAACCTCCAGCTTAAGAGAAAAGGGTGCGAGAGGTGGAAAAAGACAGTAAGCCTCAGTAAGCCTGCTGTGGCTGAAGGAAGTCTTGCGCCACTTTATGTACCCAATCCCCTTCGATTTGCAGTCAGTTTGTTTTTTGGGGTCATAACCTAAACCCTAAATCCCCTAAACCCTAAACCCCTAAACCCTAAACCTAGGATGTGGTCTTCTACGCGGCTGCCTTCCGCGCCTTCGGCATGGTAAAATCGCGCACCCAGGCCTCAGGGACTTGAGATGACACGGGGAACCCGTGTTTTTTTTTTGCTGTTCGGTCTCTTTTGTTGTTGGGTCCCTTAAAGACGAGCCAGGCA